CGCTTTATATATATATAGTATATAAATTCCTTATAAACGCAACAGTCGTAATCAGTGCTACATATGTGCGCAAATTTTTCTGGGAGAATTTCAAATAGTTTAAGACCACACCTTGCTTAACATCCAATTCCAAGCCGAGTCGAGCCAAGCTGAGCCAATATGCATAGAGTTATAAGCGCTTTTATATTAAAATTTTGCTCGCTTTATATAGACTATATAGTATATAAATTCATTATAAACGCAACAGTAATCAGTGCTACATATGTGCGCACGCAGTTCAAATTTTTCTGCAAGAATTCCAAATAGTTTGAGACCACACCTTGCTTAACATCCAATTCCAAGCCAGCCGAGCCAAGCCGAGCCAAGCTGAGCTAATATGCATAGATTTATAAGCGCTTTTATATTAAAATTTTGCTCGCTTTGTATATGTATAGTATATAAATTCATTATAAACGCAACAGTAATCAGTGCTACATATGTGCGCACGCAGTTCAAATTTATAATTTATTATAAATTTTATTTGATGTTTTTTAATTAGTCAGGTCACAATCATCATCATCATCGATATCGCAATGAAATCAAATTGAGAATTTTTTATATTAAAAAAAAAGTATCTTTATTTATTTTATGATACTATTTTGTTCAATAAGATACTGATTGATACATATAACTAGAATAAATATAACGGCCTTCGCTCACTTTCAACGGTTGAACAAGGAGGTTACTTCTGGATGGGTGATGGAGGGTGAGGTTCGAGTCAAAAGTTACCGTAGTATATTTACTAAGTACGGAATATTGCTTTTATTTAAAATGTTAAAATTTTATTTTTTTAAATTGTTATTCAATATGGTAATCAATTACTTTTATTTGGTATAAATTTAAACAAATAAAATCGACATTACCGAAAATAATTAAAAGTTGCAAAAATTGAGATTCTTTGCATATCCCTGCTTCAACCCATAAGAAAGTGTTGTTTAATGGTAAATAGGCCTCCCCTTGGATATAAGTAATGGATATTATATATATTACAGACGTTTTTGAAATATTTTTGTTTATCGCCCGGTAGTATAGAGTTTTATTTGATATAATTTAATTGAAAGGTATTATTTTTCCATAAATATCGTAAATAATTTAGTTGAATAAAATTTTCATTTTACAAAAATGGCTTCAGTTGGCGAACCTAAAAGGCTGAAACTCAGCAATGGCGATGATAATGACGAGAAATCAGCATCCTTCGGCCAGCTTACTGCCGAAAAAGTAAATATTTTTTCGAAAATATTAAATAAAAATTTATTCAAACATTTTTTTTACTTTTATATGTCTTTTTCTGAATTGACTTGACGTTGAACACTGATTTCTAATTTAATTTAATTTTATTATTAATTCATTTTGCAAAAAGCCAAAAGTAAAATTTATATATTATTTTCATTCACTTTTTAAAGTTTAAAAATTGTTAACATAAATTTTTCAGATTAAAGAGATGATGGCAAATGCCCAGAAGGCCATTCAAGAAAGAAAGAACCAACTTAACATGGCCCAGCAGCCTGCTGCCCCTTGCATTATTGTTAGTTCAGTTTATTTAATTAATCAAACATTTAATTTTATTTGTTTTGGGAAATTTTTTGTTAGATCATTTTATCAGGTAAAATTGTTAGAACAGTTTTACTTTTTTGTGGAACAGCCACCCCTGCCTGGACAGATGATGATGCCAAAGGGGCCCGCTCCTAACCTTCAACAGTCATCGTTTGCAGATAGCGAGAAATTGAAGAAGGCGAGTGAACTTCAGGCTCGAATACAGGCCAAGCTGGCTAATGTTGGATTAGCGAATGTTGTTGTTCCTGTGCCTAACTCAGCTGGAACAGGGTTAGTTAATTGTTGAGTCAATGAATAAATGCATTTGTAAAAATGGTAGTATGTTTTTTCAAATTTATGTTGTTTTAATATTGAAATCAAATTAGCAAAACAATTGGATGAATTTACTTATTAGTAAATTATTTACAAGATATATACATTCGATATCTAATCTAATCAATATAATCCATTTCATTTATTATTCTTATTTCTCAGTCCAACCCCAGTCATTCTCGATGAGTACGGTCGAACAATTGACCCTACGACCGGTCAGGCTATACAACTGCAACACCACACCCCGACCTTGAAAGCCAACATCAGGGCAAAGAAGAGGGAACAGTTCAAGGCCGTTCAGGAGCGGCCCCAAGAGGAAATGACTGATTCCAGTTTCTATGACCCTAGATTGGGGTTAAAGTTTATTTTTAAATTTGTAAATTCATTTTGTTTTGTTCTCGCTCAAATGAAGTTTTTTCTGTTTCGTTAAATTTTTCTTGATCTTAAAATTTATAATATAAATTATGATAAAATTCTTATGCTTTGTAATGATATTCATAGAAAGTTCATAACTAAATTTCATAATAAATAACTTGAATTTTGATCATGCAGGCCTATTCAGAACCCAGTTAGAAACAGAAGAATGTTCAGATTTCACGAGCCAGGCAAGTATGAGAGGATAGGACAGAGAATAAGGACAAAGGTTTCATTTTGATGATTGCTGTTTATTTCATTGTTTTATTTATTTAATTATTAATTTATTCATCTATTTGTTAGTTTTCTAATAAATAAATTCCTCCATTAATTAACTTTTTAATTAATTAACTGAATAATTTTTTCCAGGCACAGCTAGAAAAACTGCAAGGAGAAATCTTACAAGCGGCCAAAAAAACCGGAATAGCTACTGCGGCCAAACTAGCAAGTATTCAGCCAAAGAAAGAAGCTGTTAGTTTAGCTGTTCTATCTGATAGTTGAAAATCTCATACAGGCACTCATAGTTATAGATGCAGTGCTGTAGACTATGTTATATGCAATGTTATATACAGTGTTGCGCTATACTGTTTTGGCATTCTGTTAGATGTATTCAAATTAGTCAACAGCAATTAGGTTATGTGGTTTAGATTTTTTAGTTTAATTCTGTTTTTAGTTTGATGTTTGTTTATTTGTTTATGTATTTAATCATTCAATCATTCATTCATTCAATCATTTATTAATTAATTCATTCATTCATTCATTCGATTGGGCAGATTGATGATGTCCCAGATGTCGAATGGTGGGACAGAGTTATATTGAAAAATGATTTGTAAGTTTGTGTTTTGTTTGTTTTTGAAAAAATTAAAAAAAATTCTTTTTTTAAAGTTATTTTTGTATAACAAGCAATTGTATTTATTAACGTTTAAAATATTTTATGGGCATAATTGATTTAATTAAATCTCTCTTTGTATATTTCTTACTCTTTTTGTGTTTTTTCATCATTGAAATGGTTAAACATCATTATTTTTTTCTTTCACTCTCCCTCCTCCTTCTCTCTCTCTCTTTTTTCCTCTCTAGTTATTCTGATATTTAAAACATTATTTCTGAATTTAATTATTGCACGTGTTTGCCAAATTTTCCAGCTGCTATCCCAATCTAGCAGATGAAACGAATAAATCGGTGGTCTTCGAAGGAATTACCAACTTAGTTGAGCACCCAATACAGATGAAGCCACCAGGTTTGAGGGATTTTTTTTTCGTTTTTTACTTTTTGATTTGTTGGTAGTTTAAATTTTTTTTTGTAATTTAGTTCGTTTCCTTGCTTCTGGCTTAGTTGATAGTTATTATTCAAAATTGTATTGGTTGTTTTTTTTTCAATCAGTGAAATTTTGGTTTGTAAGTTTTTGTCTCTCTGTAAAATAAAATATTAATGTGGAGGACAATCCTTTCATCTGATTTCAATTTCTTACCACCTCTTTCTCTCTCTCTCTCTCTCCTCTCTCTCTCTCTCTCTCTCTCTCTCTCTCTTGGTTTGAAAGTTTTTGTTGTCTCTCAATTTCTTACCACATCTCTCTCTCGCTCTCTTTCTCTCTCTCTCTCTCTTTTAATCTATCAATTACTCCTCTTTTTTTCACTCTCTTTACTTTATCTCATCTTGAACAGTGGAGAAGAACAAATCAGTTGAGATCCCGGTGATGCTGACGAAGACGGAGAGGAAGAAGTTGAGGAGGCAGAACAGGAACGAGATACAGAAGGAGAAACAGGAGAAGATTAGACTCGGCTTGACTGCTCCTCCAGAACCCAGAGGTGTGTGTTTGTGTGTGTATTTACTTTTACTAAGTTATTTCAAATTATATCAAAAGCTTTCTACAGCATATATATATATAATTGATGTAATACATATATAAATATATATATATATATATATATGTGTATGTATATATATATATAAATGTAACTTTTTAGTTCAAATATTTAAACATTGACAACACTTACTATTACTTACTAATACGAATACGATAACTTATACAAATACTACAACAGTGAAGTTGGCAAACATGATGAGAGTGCTTGCCTCAGATGCAGTCCAGGATCCTACGAAGGTCGAGGCACATGTAAAACAACAGATGGAAAAGAGGCAAAAGTAGGTTATTCCTTTTTGGATTAAATTACATTATAACTATTAATTATTAGTTAGTTATTATTAATTATAATATAATTATAGTTCAATTATACGCTTTTGTCCAGGGCCCATCAGGATAGGAATGCAGGGCGCAAGCTGACGAAAGAGCAGAGAAGAGAGAAAATGATCCGCAAGATTAAAGAGGATACGTCAGATGGCGTTCATGTTTCTGTTTATAGGTTGGTTGATTGGTTGGTTGATTAGTTGGCTGGTTGGTTGGTGGATTGATTAGTTGGCTGGTTGGTTCATTGATTGATTGATTGAATGAGAATTCGGTTGGTTGATTGATAGTTTAATGGTTGAATCATTGACTGACTCATTCATTTGTAATTATTACATCACCATCATGATATATAGTTGTCTGACATCATCATCAATCAATCAATCAGCCAACCACACTGCCATCCATCAATCAATCAATAACTTAGAAAGCTTGCAAAAAATTTCATAGGGTCATGGATCTGACTAATCCGTCACATCGTTTCAAGGTGGAGGCCAATGCCAGTCAACTTTTCATGACCGGTATAGTGGTTCTGCACAAGGATTGTAATGTTATTGTAGTGGAAGGAGGTATACAAATTTGATTTCACCCGTTCAATTTCTAATGTCTATTCGTTTTATTCCCCACTTTTCTTTTTTTTTGTTTCACCAGGCCCAAAGCAACAAGGTAAGTTTAGGACGTTAGTGATGAGAAGAATTAAATGGAGTAATGAAAGACATAAAGAGGCCAATGATGATGGTTATATTTCAATTTTTATGCTCTTTAGGTTATTTTTTTCGCTAACTCCAGTGTATACACATATCTTATAACTATACACATACATATGCAAACAAATACACATATACACGGACACGTATATTTTTATATTATGTATACAACATATATACATGTATGTAAGTTTATTATTTATATACGTGATGGCTAACTCTTAAAACACGTAACATACAGACGATGAGAATGATGATGAAGATGAAAAGAAGACCAACGACTGTAAACTGGTTTGGGAGGTGAGAACAATTATATTTATAAAAATATTATAATATAATAATTATATCATAATAAATTATAATTATATATTTTATAAAACTTATTTGCATTAGCCTTTAAAATCTCATTCATTCTTCTTAAATAGCAATAGGTACAGCTTCATCTGTTCATCTACTAATTAATTACTTCATATTATAATAAAATAATTATGATCATTAATAAGTTAACAATGCATTGTATAATGTAAACGTGTTAATAATATAATAAGATATTTATAACTGGACAGGGCACGGTAAAGAGCCGATCTTTTGGCGAGATGAAAGTGAAAAACTGCCCAACTGAATCTTTTGCTAGGGAGACGTTCAAGAAGCACGCGGCTGAACACTACTGGGACCTGGCGTTTAGTTCTACAATTCTGGAAACCACCTTCGTCCAGCCCACTATTTAACTATTATTTTCATAGAAATATTTGAATACGTGTGTTTGTGTAGTGTGTGTAGTATTGTTATCAATGAACAATTTTCAAGTGTTTACTTTAATCATAAAAATTACAAAATAAACTTCTCTGGAAACGTTTTCAATAAAATGCCTTCCAGTGTCCGGGCACAGAAACAGCTAAATTTTCTGTTTCTTGATTTCAATTAAGACAGCTGCAGCACCGATTACATATTTTAAAAACGAACTTAAGAAAAAACAAAATTAATTAAAAAATTGAGATATAAATTAAAGAAGACGTGAGAAACGAGTTGAAACAAAAGGATGATGTTGGAAACTTTGGAGCCGAGTACCTCTCTGTTTTGGCAGAGAAAGATTCATCATTTGAGACGACGAGATGAACGTTTTGAAGGCTCTAACGCAAATTATCTATTTCAACCGCCGTTCATAAAATTTTCAGTAGGGTAACCCATCCAAGTTTCAAACCGCAATCAACTTACAAGTTAAGCGGTGCTGGAAATACATTACGAAACACTCCCTATGGGTTTAGTTTATTCTTTCCCATTAATTTTGAAATATTCGTATTATTTTAAGGCATATCTTATTTGTTATATTTCATAATGGTTCACTTTTCTTTTCATAGACATCTATGGGACGTTTTTTTAAAAACAGGTTTTTAGTTGTATGTGTAAGACATAATTTGATGAAATGAACACACGCACACAAACCCATACAGATATATATATATGTATATATATACATACATAAATATATACTGCACAAGTACATACATATATATACATACATATTTATTTATATAATTAAAAAATTTAGTAAGTTAATTACGTAATAAAAATAAGTCATTTGACAAAACAATCATTCGACAGTGTACGTGTGTATGTATGCGTATAGTATATATATATATACATATATATAAGTATATATAGATATATATGGTATATACATCATATATAACATGTTTATTTATATAAAAGGTTGAGTGTTGACTTGTCGTGCATGTATCTATCTTTCACCAGTCTGATTCTAAGTTCTGAACTGTGTAAACTGTGGCGAGGCATTTCTGGGAAAAGGAAAATGAATGAACAAATTAATTAATTAGCCAATTAATTAGTTAGTTAATTCATTCATTAACCGATCAGTAAACAGGTAAATCGTTTTGATTGTTTTTCTTGCAAGAGTATTTTAAATCTAATGATTTGCACGTTAGTATACTGTAAATTCTTTTAAAAAAAAATGATACTTGTTGTTATAATTTGAACAAATGAATTATTGAAACTAAATGAATGAATTTTGTATGTTATTTTCGTTAAATTTTCAAGAAAAAAAAACCACAAAATTCTTCAGAAAAATTAAATAAGTTTTATCTTACGGTGTAAAACCAGATCCGAAAACTCTCTCTGTTGAAATAAAATGGAGAAAAATTATTTAAAAATATATATATAATTATGTAACAAAACTCAAAAAATAAGTTGGGATCATTATTAGAGAGGCATCGCACTTTAAAGCAGTTGAATGAGTAGCAACGTTTATCCAACGAATACAGTAGCTATGATCATTATTATCAGCTTCTGTGAAATAAAAAATGATAAAATTTCTAATTCCACAATACCTCCTCCTCCACCACCACCGAATCCACCAAATCCACCGGTGGCGCTCCCAAATCCACCAGACGCCTGCTGTGGCTGCTGCATTTGGGAACCGAATGTTGACGTGGACTGTTGGGCAAGATCTCCAAATGACGGTGCATTGCTGTTTGCGAAACTAAGAGGGTATATATAATGAGAAATAAGAGATTTGTGTCACAAGTGTAATAACTGCTTATCACGAGAGAAAGATTTCAAGATTGATGTAAGTGAATATGACGAACCTAGCAAAGCCAGCACTACCGTTGCCAGCAGTATCACCGGAGGCAAACATTCTGGACTGTGAGCCGAAGACAGAAGGACTTTGTGACGTTGCAGAAAACCCCGATCCAAAAATACCAGCACCACCAGCGCCGGGGGTATTACTATTGGAAAGATTACTACTGCCAAAGACACTGCCGCCACCGAAAACATTCCCACTGCCGAAGACAGCTGAGCCTCCAAATGTAGCCCCTGATGACCTGCTGCCAAAAACTGGTGATGCACCGAACACGGCAGGAGCTCCAAACCCGGAAGAAGTTTCAAATGCTGTCGTTGAGACATGATTATTGAGATGAGCTAAATAACAATAATAACAACAACGATAACAATAATAATAACAATAATAATCGTACAAGGGTTAGATGGTTTCTGGAATCCCCCAAACCCCGTTTCAATAACGCTGGCACCTCCTGAAGTGAAACCGCCTGAACTTGCTGCTGATGTTGTAACTGAAGATGCCGTGTTGCCGAACCCCGTTCTACCGAAGATATCTGCCCATATCCACGTGTGTGTGTGTGTGCGTGTGTTTGTGTGTGTGTTAAGTAGTTACCGTAGTAAGTGAGATTTGAGGATAAGTATATTAGCAAATATCATACCATCAAACAACTATAACATCTGACACGAGAATATCTGCAACCCAGTGACTGACACAAAATACACTACTACAATATACAAATACAACAAATACGACACTCAATATCTAATACTTTGTTGTTGCTGTTGTTGGCTACTCTGCTGTCCAAACCCTACAACACTTCCAAAGACATTCATGGCTGACTTGTTTTCATTGGCCTTCATGCTGAAACTTTGGTTTCCACCGAAAAAACTAATGCCGCCAAAAATGTTGCCACCACTGCCGCTACCACTGCAGTGAATATAATTATGATTATAATTAATTATATTATAGCTATAAATGATTATAACTAATTATGGTCTATCATTTACTTGTAATATAATTAAATTTTAAAACTTGAATGTAATGTAATGAATATAAATAATAAACAAGAACTTTGGAAGTAATAAGAAACAGATGAAAAATAGCTGTAAAACGAACTAGCATTAAGATCTAAGATTTACAATTGGAAATAATAACAAATAATAATTATAATTAATATAACATTAATTATATTTACGTACCTAGAGTTAGCAAAGATGTTGTTAGAGGTTGCATTGTTACCGGCAAAGATATTCGTTGAAGGTGTAATCTCAATTTCCAAATCGGCCATTGTAGCTAGGTCACTTTCTGCACTTTCTGACTCAGCGGCATTAGCCATTGCTGTTTTTGTGGCCGCTGTGGTTGCTGCAAATATATTTGTTGTTGTTGCAGCTGCTGATGTGGTTGCTGCAAATATATTTGTTGTTGTTGCAGCTGCCGATGTGGTTGCTGCAAATATATTTGTTGTTGTTGCAGCTGCCGTTGTGGTTGCTGCAAATATGTTTGTTGTTGTTGCAGCAGCTGATGTGGTTGCTGCAAATATATTTGTTGCTGCTGCTGATGTGGTTGCTGCAAATATATTTGTTGCTGCAGATGTGGTTGGGGCAAAAATATTTGTTGGCAGGGCAGATATACTTGTTGCCATTGTCGTGGCTGATGTAGTAACTGTGCCAGCTGTCTCAGTAGTGGTAGCAGCAGTAGTGGTAGCTGTAGTAGCAGCAGTGGTAGTCGTAGGAACAGTAAGTTGGCCACTACCAAATAGATTTTTAACAGTTGAGTTACTATTATTACTACCATTATCAAACAAACTGAGACTATTGTTAGTAGTTGATGTTGTTTTCGAAGTTGTTGTCATTGCAAAATCATTTTGAGCACTGTCATTAACAATAGACGTTGACGTTGAAGTGGCTGTAGTGTTTTCGTTGACGTCGTTGTTGTAGGCAGCAGCGGCAGTAGCAGCAGCAGTTTCATCGACGTTGCTGCTACCAGGGACAGAAACTTCAGACTCAGATGATTCTATGAGATAAGCTTTTGCAGAATCTTGCGTTGTAGTTGTCAGGCCTGCACTGGTTGAAGAACCTGTTGAATGTTGTGCTGCAGAGACTGTGAGATATGAATCAGATGAAGATTCAGAAATATTAGTTGCCGATAGCTCAATCGGCCTCTGCTGCTGTTGCTGCTGAGTTTCTGTCCCACTGTTTTTGTTAGCTGTAAACCAATTTCCTAAATTTGTTGACAAACCGTTTAAACTACCACCACCACCACTACTACTACCGCTGTTGGAACCACTGTAGGCATTATTAGCGTTAGCACTATTGAAAGTGTTGAACGCCTGCTTTGTGGACGCTGATGGCAGAATCTGTGGTGAAAACTTTACACCTGATAGATCCGCAGATGATTTGCCGTCGTTATTTGATGGTGCATTCCTATTAAACTTTGTTGCTGCTGCTGTAGCTGCTGTAGCTGAATTATCATTCTCAGCAGTATTTGATGCTAAGATTAGTGACATTATGTCTGACATGGCCTTATTATCATCATCATCACCTTCACCGACGACATCAACAATCGTCGCATTATTATTGCTGTCGTCGCCATCGTGACTGTGAATCAAGTGCAGTAGTTGGCTCTGCACACTTTTCTTCCTATCCGGATCGTCATTTGGTAGGAGCTCGTCGATGATGTTGCTCAACAAGTTGATATCAGGTTGTGGCGGTTGTTGCTTCTGCAGCTGCTTCTGCTGCTGGTGTTTTGATTGTTGTTTTGATTGTTGCTGTTGTTGCCTTGGTTGTTGTTGTTGTTTAGATTCATCCGCTTGTTTTCCAAAGACAGGAGAAATCTGCAGCTGAGGTGACGGCGATTTTTGATAAGTGTCAACATACTGCTGTAGTTGTTGTTGCTGTTGTTGTTGTTGCTCCAGTTGACGTTGTTGACAATTTTTCAACTGTTGCTCATGGAGGCATTGCTGCTGCTGCTGTTGCTGAGATTTAAGAATTTTATTCTCCATCTCGACAGCCTGCAACCTCTGCTCTATTGATTGATTCTCCTCAAGCAGTCTCAGAGTCATTTGATGCATCTCCTCCATCTTCTGCATATGCATCTTGCGCTGTTCTTGCAAGAGTTGCTGCTGTTGCTGAAGTTGTTGCTGCTGCTGTTGCTGCTGATGTTGTGGCTGAGGCACTTTTCCTGACGGACAATCGACCAGATTCGTCGGAGTTTTTGATTTTTGTATTTGCTGCTGCTGTGTGACGTTCAGCTGCTTCTTCTGCTCTTTCTCTGCATACAATTCTTTCAGTTGAAATGGAGAAATCAACATGGAATGGTTCAAACTTTCTGAAGAATGTGAAGAGAAAATTTTCAGTTATCAGTTATCAACTAGCAAACAAATTAACCAAATCCTGGATTTAGTAATCCAACACATCATCGCATCCACCACCACCCACTCACTTGGAACGGTCGATCTCACAGGAACCACCCTCCTATTCAGCAGCATCTCTCTCAACTTGGCTTCTTTTAATTTTCTCGACTTTGAGACAGAAGCAGCAATATTACTTTCCTGAACCAGAGCACCGGAAACTTTCTGACCAATCAGAGAGCATCTGTTCGAGAAGAGGCGGGGCAAGTCTTTGCTACATGCAAGTATAAACAAAAAATTATCTTTACAAGTAAACTGTCATTAAAGGTAAAAGTAAGCAAAGGTATACAAAGCCGTGATAACGTATAAACCAACCAACCAACCAACCAAACAACCAACCAACCAGCCAGCCAACCAACCAACCAACCATTCAATTGATTTACTGCTCAGGTGATTAAGTTTAAGCTTCCTCTTGAGTTGTTCAATGCCACTCCTCAAAGAATGTATCACCTTTCCGTGGTTGTTGAATATCTCGTAGAACGTATGCAGGTTTGGAATTCTCAAGGGCCTGTATTTATAAAAAAAGAATAAAATTTTTCGCAATTATTAAAAATTAATTGAATAAAATTTAAACAAATATGATAAAAAAATAACCATAAAAATTCAAATGAAAGTCAAAAAAATAAAAACATCCAACCTATCGTCACTCCCCTTTATCTTCATCCTAAACTGCTCATCCAACTTCTCCCTAACTTTCTCAATTTCCAGATCTAGGAAGGCAACTGACGTAACTATACCGTCTAGTTTCTTTTTCCTCTGTGGGTCCAGGGGTCGTTGGGCCAGGAAATTTCGATAGATGGGATCGCTGTCGCGGCTCTGCAGCAGACGACACCTCTCGGCCACTATCAACATTTCCGATGACTCGAGTCGCAAGTCGTCAGTCTCTCGCTTGATGTTCTGTTGAGAGTTAGAAGAGAAAGAGAGAGTGAGTGGAAGAGAGTAAAGGAAAGAGAGAGAGAGAGAGAGAGAGAGAGAGAGAGAGAGAGAGAAAAAACCATAGAAATAAAGAAACATAGTAAGAGAGAAAGAAACATTATACTATTCAAATAAATTTCATTGAAATGAAAAAAAAAACGAAATCATTGCTAACAATTAATTCCTTGAAGATAGCATCGTAATCCTTCTTCATCTCCATGTAACGAGCCACAATCCTCTTTTTACCGGACGTGATGTCGTCAAGGGTGGAGGGGTCGCTGAGGTCGAAAGTCATCTTTCGAGAGAGGAACTCGTTGAGTTCTTTCTCGAAGTGACATATCTAGGATTGATGTGGTTGTGCCGGTTAAATAAGGAGTTATAAGGTGGTAGAAGTGTTACATCTGATCAATCAATCAATCAATCAATCAATCAATCAATCAATCAATCAATCAATCAATCAATCAACCAACCAATAAATCAATCAATCAATCAGTCAATCAACAAATCAGCCACCTCTTCAATAATGCTTCCTCTGTATGGATCAGCAGCATCGTCATCAATGACATCATCGCTACCGTCATTTGTGTTGCCGTCATCATAATTATTAGCGTTATTATCACTGTTAACATTGTTCTTTGTCATGAAGGCTATTGCTTCATTAGCTGCTATGTGGGATAGTTTTCGAGAAGCTGGTAATTCTAATTTTGTCTGCAGCTTCTGCTGCTGTTGTTGTTGCTGCTGTTTGAGAATTGATGACTGTGCATCCAATGGCGAAAATTCATTTTCGAAATTTCCTAAATTAGTTTCAATGTCTGCCTGCCCATTGTTATTAAAAGGATCATTGAATCTCGATCGGACGTTGCTACTGTACGTCTGAGGAGTTGACTGGTTTAGTGGTTTGTTGAATGAAATATTAGGAGATGATGGGTTGTTGTTGTTGCTGTCCATCAGTGATTTGAATGTCAACTGTTGCAAGTTGTTGTTAGTGTTGGTGTTTAATGTCATGGTGTTACATGGCTGTTGCTGTTGCGGGAGAAACTGTGCCTTCTGAGATTGCTGTTGCTGCGGTTTAGGTCCTAGTTGGAAAAATTGTTGCTGCTGTTGTTGTTTCAGTTGATCAGTTTGTGGCTGAAGCTGTTGAAACTTAGGAAGTTGTTGCGGTTGCTGTGACTGCTTTTGTGGTTGATGCTGCTGCTGCTGAGAAAGTGCTCTCAAGTGCCCTAAAGTGATGACGTTCTTCGGGGCATCTGGAGTGGGAATAACATTTGCTGGTGCAAATCTCGTTGCTGCTGGCAGAGACGCAACGGTTGCGCCACCCTGCTGAACTTTCTGGTTGCTGTCACCAACCTCTAACATCATCTCTAAGATAAAGAAACCAGATGACTAAAATAAACAACAACAACAACAACTCTACAATAACAACAAAAATAACAAATATTAACAAAATATTCTACAGTAATAGGAAGTTGTGTTAATAATATTAATTGATAATAACAATAAACATAATAATAAGCAATAATAAGAAAAATAGCAAAAATTAAATATCCTCCCAACTTTTATTAGTCGAATCACCGGCAGCTGTGAGAGCCTCAGGCGTTTTGTTGATAGGTTTGCAGCCATCGTTGGTGACGACGAAGACAACCAGGCATCCATCGGTCGACAGAGTCAACAGCAGTGGTGATGGTGGGTATTTGATAGTATCTGCGCGTATTTACATACAGTACAACTATCGATGACGAACTCAAGCTAAGCCAAGATGCGGTAAAAAAATATATTTAATGTTTTATAATAGTGTTAATGATAATTAATACCGGTTTCTAAACTATATTTATTTAGAGTCTTTCTAAACTATATTTAGTTATTTTTGTATAACGTTATTATTTAAAAAAAAAACATGTCCAATTTCACTCATTTCTAACAAATTCATCAACTTATTGTACAAGATAAACTCGTCATACTCCAGCTGGTTGTACGGCATTGTTTTCGTCGTCTATTTTTAATTTTTGAATTTATGGTCGTTACTGCCAGATAGTATAACTTGTACTAACCGTTCATTACGGTTTAAAAAAATTAGCTTTTGACCTCGTTGTTAATAACTTTTTCTTTGCTGATCTAATTAAAATATAAGACTTATTAGTCCTTTGTCGGTTTATTGTTGTTGGTTATTATTTTTCATTATACATTAATGCAATTGAGGCCTTAATAGTTTATTTTTAACCTCTGGTGGTCTTTCATTGAAAATTGACGTTCAGTAATTCATGATGATGATGTAGGTATGGGTGTGTGTGTGTGCGTGTGTGTACTGCTGAATCTACACTTCATTATGCTATAATCGGTTTATTGTTAACATTTTTTATTATACATTATTATAACTAAGGTCTTAAAGTTTATTTTTTATCTTTAGTTTTTTCATCATCTTTCTTTGGAGACAGAAGCTGATGAATGGAATAAAAAAAGTCCGACCCATAACAAATGGAGACTATAAACGAGGATTGATTTGGTTTTTCATCGAAAATTGACTTTCCTTGTTTTATGCTGATGTAGGTGTGTGTGTGTGTGTGGTGTTTGTGTGTGTGCCTGTGTGTGTGCGTGTGTAACTGCTTATGGCATTTTAATTCTGGATTGAAATTATGGTCTTATATGCTGTAACAACATTATGCTGAAAATCTGTGCGTATTGTTGAATCTATACTTCATAATGCTTCATTTTGTATATGCTTTGCTTAGTTTGTATTTCAAATAATCTGGACATTAAGCTGGACATTTTATCTCATTTAACTTGTGATTTATCTTTTCACTTTAGGATTAGCGTGAGCCATACAAGCTCGTATGAGCTTCTGGTTTCTCCCAGCTTTGTCTGGATAAACTATTTTTATTATTTTATCATTATCGTAATTAAGTAATATTATATTATCATCATTATCACCACTACTAATAAAATCGAAACTAAACCTTTTTCATATATGAACTGGGAATTGAAAGAGAAAGTAAAGCCTCTGGGAAAATTTGGAGAGTAATTATCGGAGTCTGTCGGGATTTCGGGACGACATTCATCGAAGATATACAATTTCCACAATTCTTTCTGAAAAACGAGAGAATCAATAGACATCGCACACACACACACACACACACACACACACACACACACACACACACACACACACACACACACACACACACACACATAAACTATAATAAATCAAAATTACAAACATAATAAAATATTAGAAATAACGCGATTGTAAACTACGAACGTCATCCATTCCTAGTATAGCAATGTCAACAGCCGTGGCCGATGTGATTGCAACCATGCTCCTAATTGAAAAGAATAATAATAATAAAAATAATAATAAATAATATTAATGATAATTATTCTTAATTTGGAAGAAAATGTAGACACCATTCTCTGATAAATTCCATTTGGTATGATGGATATCTTGAGGGGTCACTGCCATAGCAGACGTCTTCGTACAATATGAACGGCTGCTGATGGTTCTGCATTGATTTGTGTGGTCATACAAAAAAGCCAATCAATCAATCAATCAATCAATCAATCAATCAATCAATCAATCAATCAATCAATCAATCAATCAATCAATCAATCAATCAATCAATCAATCAATCAATCAATCATTCGATCGATCAATCAATCAATCAATCAATCAATAAAAAAAAGCATTCAAGTCACCTTAAGATTATAGTAGACAAGCTGTGGTTGTTCATTTTCATCATTCCTCAACCTGTAAGCAACAAACATCAGGTGAGCTGCTTCCCATAGAATATCCACAACTGCAAGATGACGTCGTTCGTGATGATGATCATGGTGATGTTTTTGGAGGCGGCGATTATGATAATGATGTTGTTTTTGATGAAGATGACGTAACTGTTAATAATAATGACGATGTCTTTAAAAATTTTCGCAGAAATAGTGAAAATGATCATGGCGAAACTAGAAAATGATAAACACTTGGCATGAAAAGATGATAACAATGATTAAAAAGGACTAAGATAAAAGTAATGAGGAAGATGATAGAAATGATGTTTAACCTGAGACTGAGGCACCATTGGCCAATTCTCTAACTTTTGAGCACGGCATTATGCAATTTTTCTCCTTCAGTGACTGCGTGTACATCACAACATCACCCGTTTTCCTACCTAGCGCTATCTGCTTGCCTTTCGGGCTCCAACAAACTTCAGTGGAAAATTTAATTATAAATCTATGAGCTGTTTCATGATTTTTAAAGAAGATTATGAATTGATTGACCGATCAAACAACCAACCAACCAACCAAAGAATCAACCCAGTTATCAACCAACTAACCAACAAATCAATCAATCAATCAACCACCAAACCTCCTCCGGAGAATTCTCCTCTATGTGAGACGACAATCTTGAACTGGCTATCCTGAACCTCATAGATGGTCACCCATCCGTCCGATGTACAAACAGCAAACATGTTCAAAAAGTCGGAGCCTGGATTCCATTGAAAGTTAAGAAGTTGGTCTCCGGGTGTGTTGGTTAGTTTGATCAATTGGAATGGTTCAGGAGATGTCTGAGGTTGGGGTACGTTGAATTTCAATTATGATTTGATTTTTTTTTAATTTCTGCTATGACATTCAAGTATAATGTGGATGCCCTGTGTGATGCACATTTTCTAATAAAAAATTTTAATGTTTTAAAATATAATATAGCCTCTCTACAACCTATGACAAATTTTTAATAAGGTTATAAATAAATTTATTTAAGAGAGGAAGAAGTTAGTTAATGATAGCAATTCAATGACCATAATGACCTCTGCAAAGACTTTGATTTCAAAAATTTCAACAAAGATGATTCTATTTTGGATAAGGCAGAGAGACAGTAAAGATTCATCAGCATTTACGGACACATGAACAATAAATCCTTCTGTATCTATGGTCCGGAGAAACTTGAAATTTTCTATTACCAGCCGGCCTTTTCTGTTGTTATTCATGTCAGACATCATCTGCTCGTCAAGCTGTGATACTTTCATGACTCTTAAAACTGATTGAAAATAATGACATAAAAGAATATATATTAAAATTTGTAGTTTAAAAGTTTTGTGTCATTTATTTTATTTTTATATAAATTTAATAGAAAATAATATTGGCATAATAATGTCATAAAGGTTGATATAATCTTTAAAAAGTATTTTATTTGAAAAAAATACTAATACCATCAGAACAAGCAGCAAAAACCAGTCCATATCTATTGCTGGCCGCCACTAATTTGCACCTAACAGGACAGTTGTCATCAAAAGAACCAATTCGAATCTTCAGTAAATTGAAGAAAGACATATCCTGCAAAATTTTAAAAGATTGCTAATCAAGCATAACTACTATAATTTTAGACTTGTAAAAAGCTAGAAAACGTTTGTTAACTAACATTCAGCTTCAAGTTTAAGCTATTTCAGAAAAATAAAATGTATTGTAAATTAAATTTTTTTATGAAATACAGAAATACTATTTCTGAAATAGGAAATAATTCTATGTTTGGAAAGATATTTAGTATAAATTTAAGGTTAGTTAGTGTCAGGGTTAGGAAAAATTTTAGCTACTAAAAAAACTACTAAACCAGGAAAGAAACAACCCATTCCCTAACCATTCATTGCTTTAAAAACGAATCTTATTATTTATTTTAACAAAATGGTGAAATTTCTAACCGTAACTTCTTTAGTTAGTTCCATGTTGATAATTTAAAAAATATGAATTAAAATGGCAAATTTATTGGACTTTTCGATCAAACTTCACACAAAAACAAACAAAATTAGGAAATTGCATAAGGCGATAAAAAGTTCAAAATTGAAGAAATAAAATTTTCGATTCTTTGCCAGGGTTCGTATAACTACCAAATAAATAACATTGTATTTTACTACAATTATAAATATAACATATATAAATATCACATTATATGTTATATATATTATATTATATATTATAATCTATATATATGGCAATTATCATATATAGAATATAACATTCTATATTCTTTACACATATATAGAATATATGTGTTATATTATATATATATATATATATATATATATATATATATATATATATGTGTGTGTGTGTGTGTGTGTGTGTGTGTGTGTTGGTAATAGACCATAATTTTTACAATACTCTATAAATTCTACCGAATGTTTGGCGTAAATATGTTTGTAGTTCGTTTTTTCGATTTTCCTCACTAAAGTTTTTTTGGTGAACGTTTAGTTTATTAAAATTCAAAATAAACTTAATTTTCGAATTCATGCTGCTAATAAGGCCATTTTTCGATTCCGAATGAATCATCATCAGTGCTCCTTGCTGTATATATAGGGAAATATTTACTTTGTCAAGATAAACTTGTTTGTAAATATGTCTGTAGTTCGTTTTTTCGATTTTCCTCACTAAAGTTTTTTTGGTGAACGTTTAGTTTATTAAAATTCAAAAAAAAACTTAATTTTCGAATTCATGCTGCTAATAAGGCCATATTTCGATTCCGAATGAATCATCATCAGTGCTCCTTGCTGTATATATAGGGAAATATTTACTTTGTCAAGATAAACTTTGACGTTGTAAAAATTAACTTTGATGTTGTAAAATTAAACTTTGATGCGAATTAGGAGTCAGGTTTCTTTATTGGCTGGTCATCTTCATTTTTTTTCATCGATAGCGTCATATTCTTCTTTGTCACTATTTACGATGCTTGTTTTTATTACTTCTTTGTTTTCGTTGTTGGTTAAGCGCCGGGTTGGAAGTGAGGTTTTCATTTTTTGTTGTATATTTATTTTTGGTTTATTGATGTCAATTAGGACTGCTTCTGCAATTTTAAGATGGGTGTAGTTGCTGTTCTGGTATATTACTTTGGTTAGAAGGTACCTTTCCTTGATGTGTTGGTCACCCGTGGCGAAGAACGATTCAAAACCACGGTCTATGTCAAAGAAACGAATACAGGAATTTGTTTGAATGGACAAAGTGAATGCACTGAACAATTTAAAGACAGCACAATAAAATCATTTGTGAACCGGGCATTCACACACTCTTCCGATATTGAAAATCGCGACGCTGAATTAAAGAGAGTCACTAACTTACTTGTAAACAATGGATATAAGACTTACTCTATTGAAAAGATTGTTAAAGGCAAATTACTACACTGCAATAACCTTCCTAGTACCAACAATCAAGATAACGACATCATCTTGTATTACAGAAATCACATGTCAACTGCATACAAGGTAGATGAAGCCATTCTTAAACATATCATCAATAAAAATGTCACACCAACCAACCCAAATAGTAAAGTTAAACTCCGAATTTATTACAACAATAAAAAGACGTCTCACCTAATACTGAAAAACAACTGCAGTCCTAGAGATAACTCTGAGTTAAAGCGTAATCACGTAATATATGAATTTAATTGCCCCTTTGACGGCTGTGCACGTGAACATGGCTCATATATCGGGATTACTACTACCTCACTGACTAGAAGGCTTACGATGCATAAACAGAGTGGTGCTATCAAATCTCATTTGGACTCAACACACTCAATCACAATTAACCGTGAAATCCTCGACAGCAACACCAAAGTAATATACCAGAACAGCAACTACACGCATCTTAAAATTGCAGAAGCAGTCCTAATTGACATCAATAAACCAAAAATAAATATACAACAAAAAATGACAACCTCACTTCCAACCAGGCGCTTAACCAACAACGAAAACAAAGAGGTAATAAAAACTAGCATCGTAAATAGTGACAAAAAAGAATATGATGTTATCGATGAAAAAAAAAGGAGACCAAAGAAGATGACCAGCCAATAAAGAAACCTGACTCCTAATTCGCATTAAAGTTCAAGTTTACAACACCAAAGTTAATTTTTACAACGTCAAAGTTCATCTATATATGTATATATATGTATATATATGTATGTATATATATATATATATATATATATATATATATATATATATATGATTCTATATGTTAAAGTCTATATAGATGGGTATAATGGTTATAAATTGAATAGTTATCATTAAGAAGTACGCTCTAAGACTCGATTATTTTTGGGAATGTTAAGCTGATTTATTGAAAATGAAATGAGCTGACAGTGTATAACTAGATTCGTGTAGTACTACACAATCTCCAGAGTATGGAAATGTATAATTTGGTAACGTAACTTATCACGTTTCTGATTAATAGTATCTTGAATCGATGGAACGAATTTGTATAAAGACTAAATGAATGAACAAACGAACGAACGATTGAATGCATTACATGCAACTAACATGTTAATGTATATTTAGAGTTAAAAAAAACTAATATTTTCAAATGAAACATCATTTCTTCGTTCGAATTTTTAAGCAAATGAGCAATACCATGTTAGCAGGAAATCATTTTCATTTGAGAATGTAACAGTCAGTTTTAACTGAAAATTATTTATTTAATGAAGATTATTTTTTTCATTTCATTTTGACGTCATTTTCTTCCTCCGAGAAACTCCGAAAATCTTTTATCGCTTCTTTTTCCTCCCAAAAATTCTGAAAATCTTTTCTTCATATGGTCCTTGCCCTGGTATGAAACATCACCATCCCCATTTTCTGAACCAGTCTCGATTAACTCCGGCACACCTTCGATTTAAGATTAAAATTATATATGAAAAAAAAATTATATTTATCTTTTAGTCGATTTTTAATCTAAATTTAATTAAAATGATTCAATATTTGATGTTTTATTTGCCTTTTTAGCGTTGTTATTATCATTAATAAGTGCAGAAGTGACATTATGAGTAGCTACTTAATTGAGAATATTGTGAAACGTACAGTTAAAACTTGATGTAAAGTAAAATTCAACAATAGAATAATGGGTAATTAATCGAAAAATCAACAAAAATCAATCTTGAAAATAAAAACCACCATTGTAGATGTAATAGAACGGTGGTAAAATGTTTCGACCAGTCAAACCGTCCATATCCGAATCGGTTTTGTCGAGTAGTGTCGGGTTTTTGTCGGTACTATCTTTCGAGAAGTAGCCACGAGGCGAGCCGAATATCACGGTCAACGTTGTCAGTATGAAGAACGCAGCTGTGACTCGTTGGCTTGCCATGGTACGTTTCGTAATGTGATGGAGTGTAGTTTATTTTTGTAATGTTATGGAGTTTGCTGTAATGTATAGCGTAGCTTACTGTAATTTGTGATGCTATTTAATGTAATTTATTGTGATTTCTGTGGAGTAATAAAAGTGTTTTTGATTGTTATATAATGTAAGTTGACGTGATAACGATGTTGATGTTGTTGTTGTTGCAGTTTTATCTCGTTGCTGTCTTGCCTGGCACCTCGTCAAACTTATCAAAATTTATAAAAAATGTATTATATTTCTAACATATAAACAACAAAATCAATAAAAATATTTATTATTTTATTATTTTAATTTATATTAAGAAACAAGAACTCCTTAATGAAAAATAAAATTACATATAGTAATCATTGGCCAGTTTTCTTACATACAGACCTCACAATCCGGCTTATATACATTACGAAAAACTCATCTACATACATACAAACAAACATACAAACAAACATACAAACATACATACAAACATACATACATACATACATACATACATACATACATACATACATACATACATACATACATACATACATACATACATACATTACATACATACATACATACATACATACATACATACATACATACATACATACATACATACATACATACATACATACATACATACATACATACATACATACATACATACATACTCCGTCCGCCGGTTCTTTTTTGGAGGCCGGCTAATAGCTTTAAATAAGAAAGACGGAGGGGTCAGACCGATTGCGGTCGGGAACGTTTGGAGGCGGTTGGCCGGCAAATGTGCCTTGGCCCTGGTCATGGTCGAACTCAAGACCAAGTTCTACCCGACTCAGTTGGGTGTCGGGATTAAGGGTGGTGTTGAGGCCGCTGTTCATGCGGTTCGAAGATTGGTCACCGACCTCCCCGATCAATGGGGGTTTCTGAAACTGGACTTTAAAAATGCCTTCAATGCCTTGAGAAGAGACTCGATGTTGGAGGCTGTCAAACTTTTTTGTCCCAATATCTATAATTTTTGCCATTCTGCCTATGGCGGAGTCTCTTCCCTTGGCTACCACTCTTGGGTTGTAGAATCGTCCGAGGGGGTACAGCAGGGTGATCCCCTAGGTCCTTTGTTGTTCGCACTAACTCTTCATCCACTCTTAGAGAAAGCTTCGTTCACTTTCGTTTGCGCTTATCTGGATGATATCAGCATAGCTTCGGACGGTCCAACTCTGGCCGATAGCTACGAATATTTGAAGCATAACTTCGCTGCAATTGGCTCAGAGTTAAACATTAAAAAATGAGAACTTCACTGCCAAAGTTTATTTCAGGTGCCACATGCGCTGGCTGAAATACCCAGAGTTGGAGCATCAGAACTGAGTTTTTTAGGCACACCCTTGGTCGAGGGCGATTATCAAATAAAGTTTTTTGACCAAAAGCTCTCTGAGCTTAAATTCGCCCTGGGTCGTGTTTTCTGTCTTTCGGCCCATGATGCCTTGACTATTATCCGCAATGCCCTCAGTTTGCCCAAATTGATGTACTTCCTGCGTACATCTAAACACATTGACCCTTCTAAATTGGGCGAATTTGACGGAGCCCTGCGCACCGCCCTGTCATCGATTTGCAATGTTCAAGTGACTGACAGTGGTTGGTCCCAGGCTCAGCTGCCGGTGCGATTTGGTGGGCTGGGGTTGCTTAGCGTGGTTCAGCTGGCTCCCGTTGTTTATAATTCTTCTGCCGCTGCCACTCTCGACCTGCGTGGGATGTTACGGTCCCTGGCACCCTCGCCGAACGATACGTAAACCTGACAAGTAAAGAATGCGGTTTGACCGCGGCCAGGGCAGCGGACGAGAAAATGAAAAAATATGGGAACCCCCTCCCCTCGATGGAATTCTTGCCAATATGCATGGAGGTTCTTGGCCCGATGGACCCAAACACCCTTAAATTTCTTAAAGAAATATGCAAAATGATCAGCGTCAGATCAGGCGATAGCAGGGAACTGTTTTTCGCAACTAATCACATTTCGTGCTTGTTGCAGCGGTTCCTGCGTGTCTGTGTGCTTGAAAATATCCAACTGAATGCCGACATGTGCAATTAACGACAAATCAAAGTGTTAATCCATTTGTTACTTGATGTTTGACGGTTCAGTGTCACTCATCATGTTTTGGTTTTAACATACATACATACATACATACATACATACATACATGCATACATACTTACGTATACAATGCATATATCTACCTGATTTAAATTACAGGTTTTTATGGAATAACGTCCACCATTATCTTTAATTCAAATGGTCGTCATCAGAATTAACTTTTAAACCGCGATGACGTCGTCAAGAAAAAAGTGTATCATCATCATCACAACCGTCATCGTCATCATCATCGTCATCATCCTCTACTGCCTCAATCTTATTAAGTGTAGGAAAATGTAATTAAAAGTACAAATACATCGCAATAACATCTTTCCCGCACTAAGACGCCCGTAACTCCTGATACAAAACTTATTACTACAATTACTATTAATATATTTATTATAATTATTATTATTATTATCACTGTTATTATTATTATTATTATTATTATTATTATTATTATTATTTCGTCTTCTTCTTATTTTATTATTACCGGTAAATTCTTTTTAATTATTAGACCGTTGATTGGTTGCCATAATGTGATAGAACGGGAGTGTTTGTGTGTTTGCATTGATGTGTGTGTGTATGTGTATGTGTGTGCGTATGAGTGTGCGCGAATGTGTGTGCGCGTATGTGTGTTTGTACATAATATGTGTGCGTATGGGTGTGTGTGAATGTGTGCGCGTGTATATATGCGTGTGTGTGTATGCGTACATCAGTCAGGTTAATGACAGCTTTACTGTTAATGTAAAAGTTCAATTAATATAAGCGAATAATGAGAATTTTTTGAAGTGCATTATAGGATTTATATCAGCGATAATGTTAATTACCTTAGTGCCTAAAACACACGCACGCACACACACACACACACACAACACGCACACATACAAGCCCATACACGCATACAAAATTGTAGATTTAACCAGTAGTAGATAAACGCGCTCACACGTCACACATACATACATACGTACACACATAGAAATACATATACACTCGTACACATACAAACATGTAAAAACACACACACACAAACACAGACGCACGCACACATGCATACATACGTAATGAGAGTTGTAACCAGAACGTACGGAAGGAAAATGACATTAGCACATTTGGTTCTCGTTCACTCTTCGCATTCTTCTTTCCCCCCTTTCTTCTGTTATGTTATTGAATTTCGAATTAGATTAAAATTTATTTGCATTTTAAATTTTATATGAAGCTGCTGCTAAAGGTCGTAGCAGTTGTAGTAATGGATGCCATTTTTTTGTTGTAGTAGTAGTAGTAGAAGTAGCAGCAAGAACAGCAGTAGTAGTAGCAGTAGTAGTGGCAGTAGTAGTAGCAGTAGTAGAAGTTGTGGTTGTTGGAGAAGTTTGTGGTTTATTTCGAATTTTCTGATTTTATTATCATCCTCCGAAGCCTTTCAACACGGATTCATTTTATTTTTCTTGCGTCAATATTTTTCGTTTAAATTTTAAAGTGTTTCTTTACTTAAAAATGATATAAACTGCCATTTTTTTCTCTGTCTGTTTATGTGTCTGTCTGTCTGGTCCGTCTGTCTAGTTTGTCCGCCTGTCTGTCTCTTTCTTTCATTGTCTTTTCTTAAACGAACAAACAAGTTTTTTTTTTCTTACAAATTTCAGCGCATGAAATAAGAAAAACAAAAACATTCGTTAATAATTCAGAAGGTCCATTCTTAATCTAACACGTACACACACATTCACGCACACACACATATGCACACACACGTACACACAGACACACACACACACAACACACAAATACGTTTCAAGAAAGTCAAATGAAAAATTTTGAAAAAAATTCGTAAAAGAAATTCCAAAAAATACACTACGACACTGTACAAAACCGAAAAACAATACAATACACAAATACCTATAAAAGTTATATATATATATACATATGTGTGTGTATATGTGTGTGTATGTGTGTGTGTGTGTGTGGTGTGTGCGTGTGCGTGTGCGTATACATGTTTGTTACAAATATAATTTCCACACATACTTTCTACAGTTCATAAAAATAAATCAATGACGATGAAAGAAATTTATAGTTAATTTACACTATAAACATAAGATGATGGCAAGTACTGAAAGAGACGAATAGACACTCACACATACATAAACACACACGCACATGCAAACACACACACACACACATACGCACATAAATTGAAAAAAAGTTTCAATAAATTCATTTCGGCTATTGAGTATGATGATAATTCTCAGTATAGAAACGAACGAACGAACGAACAAATGAATGGATGAACAAATGAATGATTGAACGAACGAACAATTAAAAGAATGAACGAATGGATGGAATAAAAAATTAAATCTTTTTCATTATTTGTAGAGGCAAGAATTTAGCATGCTGGTTTCTTTAGAATTCATTTAAATTAAAAGCACGATAACATTAAAAATGATTTTAATAACAATAATAATAACAACAACAAATAACACAATTAAGTTTGAAATCTCTTTCTTACAAAAAAAAACAACAACAAAGAACAGATATTATAAATTTACGTTAAAAAAACTAAATATTGAAAAGACTACAAAGAAATCAAAACAAAAAGTTCTTTTTTGGAAACCGAAACTAATTTTTCTCTCCGGAAAACCATCTTCACTAACCGGATAAAAAAAACTATTTTTATATGCATATATATATATATATATATATATATTCTCATATTCGAAATACGAAAAATTGAAAACTAACAAAAAAACAACATCATCATCGTCATCATCATCGTCGTCGTCATTATCATCATATGGTGTTGATCACCAACATCGTCATCGTTATCACCACTTAATGAAAACCAACAACAAATGACACATAAGAATTATAAATAAAAAAAAGTTTAAAAGTTTTAGCTATTTAATTAAACTAATACATTATACACATACACACACACACACACTCACACATACACACACACACACACACACACACACATATATATATATATATATATATATATATATATATATATTAATATATATATAATTCATAGTGATAATGTAATGACAATGTGACTAGGCCATGATATCATTTCCATCATCATGATCTTTCTCACAATTTGTAACATTGTTTCTAGTTAGGCAATACATCTGTGGCTGTATAAAAGGCTGCGTTAGCTGATTGGTCGAATTGAAATTAGGATTGGCCAATCGGGTTGAAGGTGACGTTGGGTTGTTTTTCCTACTATGATGATTATTTTCTAGCATTGATTCGCTTGTTGTGTTAAGCGCCGGTTTTTGCAAAAATAGTTGCTGATTTTGTTGTTGTTGTAAAAATAAACTTTTGTTGTTGTTGTTGTTGTGTGGGTAGTTGTGGTTGTCGGTGGCCACATTGTGGTTTGTGACGTAATATCCGCCACTACTCTCGCCGCTGACGCTTTCATCTGAATGTGGGTTACTGTAATTGTTGTTGTTAATGTTGTTGGTGTTAGTGTTGTTGTTGTTGATGTTATTGTTGAGATTTGATTGGTTTTCCAAGACCCAATAAGCATCTGAGGTGAGTGGTTGAGGCTGGTTTGTTGCAACTTGTTGCTGTTGCTGAAATGAATTAAAATTTAAAATGCAAGCGCTGTTAGCGTTGTTGTTGTTGTTGATGTTGTTGTTACTAGTGTAATTTAATAAAATTTCATTGTTGTTGTTGTTGCTGCTGCTGTTGTGGCTGTGGCTGCCGCTGCCATTACTGCTGCAGCTGTTGATGTTGCTACAGACGGCAAAATTAGAATTGTTGATGTCATTGATGTTGTTGTTTTTGTTGTTGTTGTTGATGGTAGTGCAGTTTCTATCTTCTGGATCAGTCAGCTGGTCATACAAAACGCCTTCGTCTGATTGTTGTTGTTGTTGTTGTTGGGGTTGTTGTTGTTGTTAATGTTGTTGTTGTTTCATGTTGTTGTTATCATAATCAACGTCAGCAACTTCAGCAACATCATTATCAATATTACCAACGTACTTTTTGCGCGTACACACACGCACACACAAACACACACACAAACACACACACGCACGCACACACACACAAACAAACCAGCACAAACAAACAAACCACACACACGCACATACACATGCACATACGCACGCACTTACAAACCTGTGATATTATTACTGATGTTTGTACATTTTGAGTAGGTTAGGCTTTTCTGACAAGAAAACTGTTGATGAGGTGGATGCGGTAGTGTTAATTCTGGAGGTAGCTAGGTGAATTTTCAAGAAAAATTGTAAATTAAGGTCTTCAAACACCAGAAATACCTAAAAAATTCAATACCGGTACTCAGGAAAATTGTTATAAATAATCTTCAAATATCATCTCAGGTTTTTACAGGACAAATTTTTCGGGATATTCATTGTGGAAAATTAATTAATAGTCAATTAAGGTATTTATACAGAGAAACTACACAAAAATACAACGCTGAAACACAGAAAAATTATCTAATCTACGAACTTATCCCAAGTTGAACATCGCGGAAATAGCGCTTTATAAGCTAATTGATTGATTGATTGATTGAAGTTATTTAACAATTTTCAAGAAATCGAAAGTAAAAAAGTTGAATTGCAAGTTTTTTAAATAGCGCAAACTATATTAATAAATTTCTAATTAATTGTTTAAGTGATTAATCATTTGTCTTTAATTCTTTCAATTAGTTTTACTTTAGTGCAGTTGGCTTGAAATTTTGACCCAATGGGAAGAGCCCTGACAGAATCCTCGACGTTCATTGGCTGGCAGTATTCAACAGTGCCCCCTCCTAACGTACAATGTCCGTTGCAGGATGGCAGATGGGTGGAGCATACGGTCTCATTTGGACCAATCAGATGATGGTGATGGTGGCTGCCTTGGTAGCAATGCATCAGTGATTGGTTGAGGTGTGGGTCTGTGGGAAAGAAATTATAATAATTTATAATAATATTCATAGAAAATTTTATGATTATTTATGCTAACTTGAATTCCAAACCTTCAAAAAATTATTTTCCCCGATAATAAACTGACAATAAAATCACTTTTATCGTTGCATCCATTCTTTTTCTTTTTTTTATAGCAACAGATGGCGACAGCAGCCACGAAAGCGGCCACAACGAGGACAGACATTACCCCACCAATCACGTAGAGAGACTGGCTGGCAAAGTCGGGGCTTGCCACATTTTGCAGATTTTTAGGGCTGGTGCTTTTGGTTTGTTTCTCGTTTTTGTAGTTGAATCTGTTGTTGTTGTCGTTGATGTTGTTGTTGTAGTCAAAGTTGTTGTTGTTGTTGATGTTGTTGTTGATGTTGTTGTTGTATTCGTTGTTGATGTGGTTTGCAGGCAGTTGGCATTCTGTGAGAACATTAATGATGATTTTGGAATTTGAAAAATATTGCTGTTATCCAGATGAGAAATATTTTTAGACTCCATCCAATTCTTATTCAAGCAGAAAATCAAAAAATGAATCTAGCAATTACTTAATCAATCAGTCAACCGACCAACAAACCAACAAACCAACCAACCAACCAACCAATCAACTAGCCAACCAACCAACCAACAAACCTTTAGTTTCACCCACAATAGGCTTGCTATAATCACTCTCATTTTCGTCGTAAAATACACTTTGCATTTTAAACAGGTAGGCCGTGGAGGGCTTCAACTTCGCCACCAACACATCTCTACTTCTCCCGCTGTCAACTTTCAAAGTCTGGACTGCTGTCTGGTGCTCGTACGGGGCATAATGTATGTAGAAGTGTTGTATGCCTATTCGGGTAATGTTGAAATGAAATACCATCTGATGACTCTAACAATAATAATTATAATCTTCACAACAAATAATATTCTTCACAACAATAATAATCTTCACAACAATAATAATCTTCACAACAATAATAATCTTCACAACAATAATAATCTTCACAACAATAATAATCTTCAATTATCAATTACAACAACAACAACAAAAAATCACATTAACGTCTGTAGCAGCAGCAGCAGCAACAACAACAGTAAAAATAACAACAACAACAGCAATAATAATAATAATAATAATAATAATAATTATAATTATCCACCTACCTTTTCTTACGCTCCTTCTATCTCTTCTTGTTTTGCCATTAATTTTTCTTCTTTTATTTTTATTATTGTTTTTTGGGTTATTATTATTATTGTTGTTGTTATTATTATCGCCGTTAATTTTTTTGTTATTAAGGCCTTTCTTTACGTAATTGTTACCGTATGTGTTACTTTCGTTGAGTTTGGGATCGTCATCATCATCGTCATTAGCATCATAAACATCGTTCAGATAATCATTATTAACATCATCATCATCATCGCCTTCGTCATCTCTACCATTATCATCATTATTATAATGTAAATCAGTATCATAATCATGACTACCAGCAACATCATCATCGTCGTCGTCATCATTGTAGTTGTAATCATCATCATCATCGTCATCGTCATCATCATAGTCATTCGTCGATATGCTGTAAACACCGTCTATATCTTGTATGTCATAACCAGGTACCTATAATATTAAATTATAGTTATAATTTTTTTAGTAATAATAAATACTATTATAATTATTGTTATAATTTGTGACCTGCCAGCGAATCAAGATCTCCGTACAGGAGGGCGACGAAGCCTCTACGATGATTGGCTGAGGAGGTTTCACCACATTTGAATGTTGCAATTCAATTGGCTGTTGATGTTGGTGCTGCGTTTTTATTTGCTGCTGATGTTGCTGCTGATGCTGCGATTCTATTGGCTGCTGCTGATCGTCTGTTATAAATAGTTTGTTTGATTCTTGGCTAAATCTACAAGGTCGAGGTCGTCTCGCGTCAAAGAGACAGATTCGGAAACGGTAAGTTTTGCCTGGAGAAATTTTATTGACTGATTGATTGATTGATGGAGAAAAAAAATTGAATGAATAAATGGGTGAATGAATGAATGGATGAATGAATGAATGGATGGATGGATGAATGAATGATTGGTTGATTGATTGGTCAATTGATTTAATAATTGTTAATCTTGATTAAGAAAAAATGATGAAAAACTTTTTGAAAATATGTACGGCACAAAGCAATATAAAATACCAAGCAATACAAAATTACCTGGCAGCATGATATCATTAGATACAACGTACGATCTATCATTATAGGATACCATATCATCTATTGTATCCCAGCGTCCTGTTTTTGAGACATCATCATCATCATCATTCCGATCATTATCATTATCATCATTGTAATTGTTGTTATTATTATTATTATTCAAACTGGCTGCCTTATACGAAGTTACTCTTTTCATTTGTACTTCAAAGTGAAGATGATGGTCATCATTATCATCATCGTCATTTTTATTATTATTACTGTTGTTGTTGTTGTTATATTTATGATTATTATAGTTGATGAGTGTCCATTCCAAAAACACGTCCATGTTTTCTTGCAAAGTCACTTCCGGTTTAGAAGGCCTGACGATATTTTGCGTCTTTGGTAACGATGACGACGATGGCCGGTGTGGTTTTTTTGCGCCATTCTTCTTCAATGTCGTTGTCGTTGTTGTTGATGCTGTTGTAAATTTCGATGTTGTTTTGTCTTTGGTCTTTGATGGTGACGATAATAGGGCCGATGACGAGTTGTTGTTTTGAATCTTTGTTTCTGCGAAAATAACATCTTTCTAAAAAAAAAAAACTCATCCAGCGGCTGTTTAAAAATTAATTTAAATCTCTAAATTTCAAAAACAAAAACCACACGATCCTGACCTTTGACCTGGTTTGACCTAGATAAAATCAGCCTTGCGGCACTATTGGCTGACCCGATTAAGTTGCTGGCGAAGCATTGGTAGATGCCCTCTTGCTTTTCGTTGATGTTTGATAAGGTGACCGTTGTGTCTGGTTAAAAAGTGAATGAATGATGGATAAATAAATAAACGAATGAATGAACGAAGGATTGATTGAGAGATTGAGAGATTTCCGATTGAAGAATGAATGTTTAAATCGTTGAAAGAAAGGTAAAGGAGAGTTTACTGTCGATCGATTGATTGTTGAATGGATGGAATAGATAGAACGAACAAAACGTAAAAATTAAAATTTTTTAAAAACAGCCCTCACCCCTGACGGTAACGAAGGGCCCATCCAGTAGTGCCACCCCATTAAAAAACCACCTGACATGCACTATTGGGGTACCCGAAGTTTTGCAACGGATAATTAAAGTAGAGCCTTTCTTGGCCCTTTGGAAATCAGGCGATATTATCTCTGCTTTTGTTGGTTCTGCATTTCAATAATTGATCGGTAGGTTTGTTGAGGCAACGATTGGTTGATTGATTGATTGATTGATTGGTTGATTGATTGATTGATTGATTGATTGATTGATTGATTGATTGATTGATTGATTGATTGATTGATTGATTGATTGATTGATTGATTGATTGATTGATTGATTGATTGATTGATTGATTGATTGATTGATTGATTGATTGATTGATTGATTGATTGATTGATTGATTGATTGATTGATTGATTGATCGATTGATCGATTGATTGAGCAGTTGATTATAAATATAATTTACAATAAAAAAAAAGTTAAAAATGTAATTAGTAAGTAAAGGATCAAATAAATTCAATGAAAACTTACCGTAAACCATGACCGATACAGTTTCCGTGACAACTTTTTGATTGACACCTCTACTACTACTACCATCATCTTCCTCATTCCTACTATCATCATCGTCATTGTTGTTGTTGTTGATGTTGTTGTTGATGTCAGCGTTATTGTTATTAGGATAAACTTTGCATTCATACGTTCCGATATCGTTTCGTTGGACGTTTGTTATCGTTAGGCGACCTGTTTTTTCGTTATTAAAAGATGGTTGGTTGATTGATTGATTGATTGATTGATTGATTGGTTGGTTGGTTGATTGGTTGGTTGGTGGATTGGTTGGTTGATTGGTTGGTTGGTTGGTTGATTGGTTAATTGGTTAGTTGGTTGGTTGGATGATTGTTTGGTTGGTTGGTTGATTGGTTAGTTGATTGGTTAGTTGATTGGTTGGTTGACTGGTTAGTTGATAGATTGTTTGGTTGGCTGGTTGATCGGTCGGTCGGTTGGTTGATTGGTTGATTGAATAAACCATGAATGAATTTCAAATTTATTCAACAAACGCAGCAGAAATGAAACAAGTCTGACATCTACTGATCAGTAAAAGTTTTCTTTATTAAATTATTGCAAGATCATTTCATGAAGACATCCCGTCACCCACCCGATTTTTGCTGAGTTTTTGAGCTCGTAAAATACCCGCCATATTTGCCCCACGTGACATTCACGTCACTAGGACCAGAGGTGAGACATTCCAAGGTCAAATTCTGCTTAGAGGTCAAGGTCACGTTTTTGCTTGGCACGTACAATTTTACCCGATCGTCTGCTGATGCAACTGTTGTAATTATTTTGAAAAATGAATGATGAAGGGTATGAAACACGCTCGTATCACGCACACACACACACACACACACACACACACACACACACACACACACACACACACATAACAAACACACACACATAACAAACACACACAAACACACACACCTACATACATACATACATACACACAAACACAAACATACACATACACGTACACTCATGCATAGTATGTATGTATGTACAAGAGAGACTGAGGTATCGAATGCTACCCCTTGAAATAATTGTTATTGAACGCTGCCATTTGATACGTCCTTAATTTAATGTACGGGTCAAATTATTTCTTTCTTTACCTCTCGTCTCTCTCTCTCTCTTTCTTACTCTTTCTTTTTCTTATTCTCTCTTTCCATCTTCTCCATCTGAGATGATAATTTAAGCAGAGGAATAAAGGAGCGAGTAAATTTAATTGAGTATTTTTGATTGACACATACTCATATTCTTCTAATTTCATCTACATTTTGACATTTTGTATATCTTCATTTTTCTCTCTCTATCTCCTTCCCTCCCTCTCTCTCTCTCTCTCTCTCCTCTGTCTAGTCCTAAAAATTATAGTTCAGGCGAGTGAAGGAGCAAACAAGCGAGTGAATGAATGAATGAATGAATAAATGAATGAATGAATGAATGAAAAAATGAATGAATGAAGATTAGTCATATTTTTGATTGACAGTTGCTAGGGAGATATTTGATTTTGCGTTCTGTCCTGTCAAAACTGCATGCCTGCTAAGAAAAATAAACTTAATGATGTGAAGATGATATGGAATAATAACGTGATGCGGATGACGACGATGACGATGATGATGATTGTAATAATGATAAGAATGATGATAAGATAATTCATTCATTCATTCATTCGTAGGACAAGAAAAGATAAAAAATACATTCGTTCATTCATACATTCATACACACATACATACACAAACACACACACACACACGCACACACACACACACACATTGGCCTCGCTACCAGATAAAATCCGAAAACAAATTTAATGAAAGATGCCAGTACAAAGGACTTAAATATATGGAAAATCAACCAGGACAGAGATACAAAATGTTATTATTATTGTCCTTATTATCATTATTATTGTCATTATTAATATTATTATCCTTATTATTATTATTGTTATTATTATGTTATATTATTGCTGCAGTTGTTTGAGATTTTCTACGAAAATGCATTTTTATTGTTATTTCATTAGTTCGAAAAATGACCGGTAGGTATTGTTCGACGATGATGACGATGATGATGATGATGATGATGATGATGATGATGATGATGATGATGACGATGATGGTGATGATGATGACGATGATGATGATGATGATGACGATGATGATGATGGCGTGATAGAGGAGATGATTAAATTTTTTTACCCGGAAACTTTTCAGAAAAGTTCTGTTCGCTTTTTGTCAGCAATTCGAACATACCTACGCTGAAGGTATTTAAGCGAGTGCAATGAAATCACCAGTTCATGCCAACTATATGTGTGTGTGTGTTTGTATGTGTGTGTATGTGTATGTGTGTGTTTGTTTGTATGTGTGTATGTGTGTACGTGTATGTGAGTGTGCATTTTCGTCTACTTTCACCTGTTCAAAAGGTTATCAACAGCCAGAGCATTCATTCACTGTTCTTGTCTATCAATGTAACATTCTGTCGTCATCATATTCATCAGCGGCGTCATCAGTCTTATTTATGTCATCGTCATCATCATCGTCGTCGTCATCATCATC